AGAATAAACTATGGAATGCTGCCAAAAGGCTTAGTTGCTCCATCAGGACCGAGTAGGGGAGAAACTCCCAAGACACCATTATTTCCACCAAACAAATGGATTAGAATGAATTAGAGAATTATTATTATTATCATTACTGCAATAAAAAAATATCTTTTACAACATTTGTTTTTCTTTAGGAGCTGTGATTTTTGTAGTACGATTACTATGTCCGTTTTGTGATTGAATAAATGAAACTCTTCAAAAATAGAAACAATAAGATTTCAGCAGCATTTACAGTAAAGGTGCTCATTTTATTAAAAAATATATTAGCAGTTTCCTGAATCAAGCCACATGTAACCACACCATGTCTAAAAAACAGAAAATGCTCGTTTCTCAATCTCCTATAGTTCATGTTCAACCAAGAATTCACCAAAATCACTCTATACTCAACACTTTCTGAAATATACCCCCACACCAAAAATTTCTTCACATGCAATATCTTCAAAAGTAGGTAACTTGTTTCTGGATTTGCTCTTAGGCAACATCTAGAGTTTTTATAGAAGACAGATGTCCACCAGCAGAATTAATCTACACAAAAGTTATTGGACCTGCATTTGTTAGTTGATTATGCTATAATGACACAAATTGAAAGCTCAAAAGTCTGCCTACCCACCAAAAACAAAGGCCCCTTGACATCTTCATGAATTTTTGTCTTATACATAACTTTAAATGACTTTATAACCCACATGATAAGGACAACAATCTTTTACCCTAGAGAAAACAAGAATTGACTAATTATGCACTTTGCTTTGTTTTTATACGTTTCTCAATCTTTTAAATATTAATGCATTCTATTTTTCGTATAATTTGATTGTAAAACTATTTTTTTATGATGATAAAATATATAATCCAATTTTAAATTCAATATCATCAATTTCTTGTTTTTTTTTAAAAAAATAAATTTAAAATTTAAATATCGAATAGGTGTTAAATCATAAAGGAAATGGAGATTGTAAAAATAAGGGAAAAAATAAGTTTGCAATTAAACAATAAAGCGTATACCCTCCTCCTGCTGAACGCTTCTTGTGGTCGTAGTTGCTGCAAGTTGGATCTGCTCCTCCAAGGCTCTAAGTCTCTGCTGCCTCTGTGTGTGTATATATATATATTTTGTATTTTTGTTCATGTGTGTGTCTATATATAACTTTGAATTTGAAAAATATATATATATTTCCATTGTTCTTCTAAGAAAAGTTCTTCTTGATCAGGGTTGGGTTGCAACTTAGCTAACCTACAAATCTAACATAATATGAGATAAAAATTAATATTTAAAAGTGCTCTAGGTTCATATTCATGTCAATTTTTTTTTAAAAAATAAATGTAATACGATACGAAATAAAAATCAATGCTCAGCACACTCCAATTTAGAATGTGTTCGGGTTTATATATAAATATATATAAGAGTAGAGTTAGATTCATGTTTAGAAAAATTTATTATTTTTAATTAAAATAAAAATAAATCTGTCATAATATTTATGACTCAAGATACTCTACACAATAATTATTTACTAATATTTGCAATGTAATGTTTAATTTTAATATATAATACAGTCTTTAAAAAACTTATCAACTGCCTAAGGGATGTGTAATAATCGGTTCTACTACTTTCAATTAATAAAGAAAAAGGACCAATCGGAAGTAACAAAAATAAAGTTATTAATTTTAGAGTTATAACTAAAATGCAAGAGCTGTGTATTAGTAGAGAAAAGATATATTATTTTATAAGTTGAATACGAAAAATATATTTTTAATTAATTATTCAGCGAAGTCTATGAACTAAAACTAAATTGATATTTTTTCTCACTGAACTAACTTAATTAATCGATTTGATTTGAACCACTCTTTTCAATATTGTATTTAGTACAACTTTACTCAATGATAATATTGTTATTGTTTGTCCGCACGTTAGCATATTTTTTTTTTACTCATATAATATATTCTCTAGTATATGATAGAAAAAACTTGCCAATATATAATTTTTTAATTAAATAGTTAATATTTTACTACTATTAATTATATTATAATTAGTATGAATATATCATAATTATTAAAGTATATAAATCATCACTAAAAAAACCACAATATTAGAAATAATTTTAAATTAATATTATTTTTAACAAAATTCTTCTAATTTATATATTTTTTTAAGAAACTATATCCCTTTATGATTACTATTGTAACAACTACATAATAACTTTTTAATTCAAAATTATATTTTATTATTGTAACAAATCCACCTCAATTCAATAAATTTATTTGATCACTCATACAAGATTAACCATTATCATCTATTCACATTTTTTCACTTTAACAATAAAATTATAATATTAATTTCTTAATAATAATTTGTGTTGTATTCAAAATTTGAAATTATACGTTAGTATCAATTTTATTTCTTAGTTTGGATTTTAAGCCCGTCTATGTAGTTGATGATTCTAATCAAATTTTAGAGTAGTTGGTCCAATATATATATATTTAAAAAAATGAGTATTATAAACTATATGATAAAATAAAGCTAAGGTAAAATATCTGGCAGAAGAAAATAACGAATGGAAATTTTTTTTCCCCAACGGGGTAAAAATACGAGTCAGTTACTGTCAGATGGGTGGAGTTTAACCGCAATGAAAATGACACAGGATATTCCTCGCACTCTCTGCTTTTGTCCCTCTCTCTCTCTACGAAAACCCTAGTTCTCTCTTTGCTTTATCTTTCTGTTCAACTCAGCTCATTCCCTCTCGCTCTCTCTCTCTGCCGGAAGAACGCTTAAGCTCACAGGTTCTCTGTGGCTTCACTTCTCTCTCTCTTATGTAAATATTCACTTTTATATATGCGAGTTTTTATATATAGATGCGGCTCTGTTGATGTTCTTCGATTTCATTTCCTTTTGTTTTTATTTTTCTGTTTCGAGTGAAGGTAATGTTATTGAAAAGTGCAACAGAAGGAAGTTCAATCAAGGATGCAAAAATTATATTAATCAATTTAAATCAAGAAAAACTTTCAGGATCAGGATTTGATCATTATTTTAGTTGATTCCGTTTTAATTTTCAGATCTGCGATCGGAGCGAAACGTTTTTCCGTTGAAGCCATGGCTCTAGTATGATTCTTCCTATTCTGATCTCCATGCACCGATTATTTTCTATCAACTTTGAGTGATGAGTGAAATTTGAGCATTTTCTCTTAACTTTGAGTAAAGTTAATTCTGCCTTTTCTGCTTGGTTGGTGGTTCATGTATGAATTAGTTGATTTGTTAATATAGTCAATATAAGAAATGGGATTTTTCAAATATTGTTGTCTTCATCTGGAGAAATGAAGGGAATTTTAGCTCTTTTTCCTCTCTGATCTCTGAAGTCCTAAGCGCCTCTGATTTTATTTCTCAACTTTAAATGATTTTTTTTTTGACAAAGAATGTTGATCAACAAATCAGGATGTGTAGATAGCCGTTTAGAATTTTAAGAAAGACGTATCCCCATCTATGTCAAATTATTTTGTTTTATTATTCCGTTAATATCTTTCGGTAAAGAAACTTTTGCCTCTTTCAATTTTGTCTACTGTAGAATTCGAAATAGTCTGCACAATCTAGGTTATGAAAACAATAAGATACTGCACTGCACTATTTTTTGATAACTATTGAACTCTTTCTTTTGTCAGAACTAATTGCAACAAACAGTTTAAATAGTTTGATTTAAAATTGTATTTCTCATAATAATGTTGGAATTTTGTTATCAAGATAACGGAGTTTCATTATCATCGATAGGAAGGTACAAGTTTACGGAGTTATCTTTAGGACAGGCCTTGCTGTATCACATGCAGGTTCATTATGCATAAATGTCTAATGGAGATGACATAAATTGTCAACGATATAATGCTATCGCAATGAAACCTGAATATGTAATGCTTATTAGAGACTTACAGCTATTTAGTTGCTAGCTAAGTATATCCCAAGTTCCAGTTGAGTAACAACCTGTTGATTCTGTTTTATAGGTACTGCATGCAGGAAATAAGAACAAAAATGCCTACAAGACTCTCATTGCTGCAGAATACACTGGTGTCCAGGTTGAACTTGCTCCAAATTTTGAGATGGGTGTCTCAAACAAAACCTCAGAATTCCTCAAGATGAACCCTATTGGAAAGGTACCATGCAGATGCTAGAATAATAACCATTAAGTTAAGTTTCTAAAAGGATCTTTAATTTCTCTAGGTTCCTGTGCTGGAAACACCTGATGGCACCGTTTTTGAGAGCAATGCCATCGCCCGATATGGTATGAATGAATATTACTTTATCTTTTCTTTTTTCTTTATCCTTTTTGATGGTTATATTGGAACTTATGGTTCTTTCTTTTGTTGCTTCAGTCACACGCCTGAAGGCGGACAATCCTCTCTATGGTTCTAGTATTATTGATTATGTAAGATCTCTTTTATCACTGAATATTTTGTACTTGTGTAGTGTAAATATTTCTCTAATTATCTGCATGCTTTGCATTTTTAATTTCCATATAAATGTTCTTAACCGTGGGAAATCATACTCAAATAAAAAAAGAGCTTATATTGACCTCAGCTTATGTTTAGCTTATTTTTTTATGCTGGATAGGCCCATGTTGAGCAATGGATTGACTTTGCTTCATTGGAGATTGATGCTAATCTTATAAGTTGGTTTAAGCCAAGAATGGGACGTGTTGTATACCTTCCTCCGGTAAGCTCTACTCTATTGTTTAGTCGTCTGTTCTCTCAGATGTCAAGGGGATTTGTCATAATGTGTTGGTGATTGTTCCTGATGTAACTGGCTGAAGCATCTCTGCTAGCTTTCATATCATTCATTATAAATTTTTTTCCTTTTTTCTCTTTTTGGTGAAGGCTGAGGAAGCAGCAATTGCTGCATTAAAGAGGGCACTAGATGCCTTGAATTCACATCTTGCATCCAACACATACCTTGTGGGGCATTCTGTGACATTAGCTGACATTGTGATGACATGCAACTTGTTACTCGGGTTCAACCACCTCATGACCAAGGCTTTTACTTCAGAGTTCCCTCATGTTGAAAGATACTTCTGGACCATGGTTAATCAACCAAATTTTAAGAAGATAATTGGTGAGGCCAAGCAGGCTGAATCCGTGATGCCTGTTCAGTCTGCAAAGAAGCCTTCTCAGCCAAAGGAATCGGCTAAGCCAAAGCCCAAGGATGAACCAAAAAAAGAAGCTAAAAAGGAAGTCCAGAAGGAGCCAGCAAAGCCAGCTGAAGAAGAGGAAGAGGCACCAAAACCCCAAACCCAAAAATCCACTTGATTTGCTTCCTCCAAGTAAAATGATTCTAGATGAGTGGAAGAGGCTGTACTCAAATACGAAGACCAATTTCCGTGAGGTTGCAATTAAAGGTATTCGCTTTTTTCTTTTTGATTTTTTTTCCTTACAACTGGAAATGTTTTACTGAAAGAATGTTCATAATCGTCATATTAGACAAGACAACACAATTAACCTATTAAATTTTACTATGCTTGTGCTGTAGGATTCTGGGAGATGTATGATCCCGAGGGATACTCTCTATGGTTCTGTGATTACAAGTACAATGATGAGAATACTGTATCATTTGTCACCTTAAACAAGGTTGGTGGGTTCCTTCAACGGATGGATTTGGCACGCAAGTATGCTTTTGGGAAGATGTTGGTGATTGGTTCAGGACCCCCATTCAAGGTAAAGGGCTTGTGGCTTTTCCGCGGTACAGAAATTCCCAAGTTTGTCCTTGACGAGTGCTATGACATGGAGTTGTATGATTGGAGAAAGGTTGACATCTCAGATGAAGCTCAAAAAGAGCGTGTAAGTCAGATGATTGAGGATGCAGAACCATTTGAGGGAGAACCCCTCTTGGACGCCAAATGCTTCAAGTGAAAAAGCATCTCAAGTTAGAAGACCACACACTTGAGAGTGTTTTTTGTTCTTGTTTTATGGGAGAGGTTTGTTTTGTCATGTTTTGAGCATACTGAAGTCTAGCCTTTTGTTACTTAGTGGCAACACTAGACTAATTTATATTTCTTGATATGCTATATCTACATTTGAGGAGATAATTCTCAGGGTAAGTTCAAATCTTAAAAATATGTTATATATAATACATCATATTAAAATATAGTGAAGTTTGACTATGGCAGTTGTGGGGGTTAAAGTTTTTTTATTTGGAATTAAACGTTTGACTTGAATTTTTTTGGCTATAGAAAAGGTGCAAATTACGTGAAAATTAAGAATAATTTATTCATTAATGCATGAACTCTTAGTTTATTGCGTAGAAAATTTCTACATATGAATAAATTTATAAACTCATTTGTATTGTGAAACAAATTTTTGCTTTTAGTTTTATAATAATAAATAGATTTAAAAAATATATTGTACACGACAAGTAAATTTAAAAAAATTAATCTTATAATAATGTTTAATATGATATAGTTCTATTTACTTCTAATAGATACAAAAATAAAAAAAAGTTATCATATAAATTATTATTGCTTATTAAATTAAAGTTTTATTTAAGCATAAAATATTATAAAATTTCAAATTTATTTGTTTTGTAAATATTATTATTATTTTCTAATTATATATATTTTTGATTTTTTTTTTTAAATTTTATGCAAAGGCATGTGATCCAACAATAAAAATAAGAATATGGTTTGAACAAATAATTTAAAAAATATTATGGGCAAAGGAACGCTAAATTTGGATGCAAAACAAATTTTTAAACATAAAATATTTATTTTTTAAATTCATTTGGTTAGTAAGAAGATACGATAAATAAATAAAACGATATCATTATAATTTTTATATTTGCTTTAAAAATGATTTCATAATTATAATCTAGAAAGTTTAGAAAAACAAAAAATAGCCAGAAGTATGGTGAATTTAAAAGAAAATACAAAAAAAATTGTGGATGATAAAGTTTTAGTTTGAATAGCAATTTAAAAGGAAAAACATATAATTTGTGCTATTAACATTAATGTAACAAAAAATTATATGTAAACTGAGGACATCACATGTAACACCCAAAGATTTTTATTTTTATTTTATTTTATTTTAATTTAGAATTTTGTTAATTTTATTTTATTTTAATAATTAATTTATAAGCTTTAATTTAATTTAATTTAATTTAATTTAATAGAAATAAAAATAAAAATAATAAAATGGGGTAAAATTATTTTTGGGATTTAATTGAAATTGAATTTGAGAAAAATGGGTGAAAATTTGGATTATGGGAGTGTTTTTAAAAATAAAATCGAAAATCGAGGGTCAAAACGATAATTAAAAAAATAGCGCCACGTCAGCAGCCCCGGCCAACCAGGATACGCCGCGTGGCAGGGATGCTGACGTGGGAAGCCAAGCGGGACGGAGACACGTGGGCGATCCGCGTGCGTGCGATCGGACGGCCCAGATCCGTTCCCGCGCGCACGAACGGCCCAGATCAAAGGCGTGCGTGGACGGCCCAGATCTCACGCGTGCGGACGGTCCAGATTTGATCACGCACAGACGGCCCAGATTACATCGTGATGGACGGTCCAGATTAAATCATGACGGACGGCTCAGATTAAAAGGAGAGGGTTATAAATAATCGCATCCACACCCAACCCCAAACCCTAGCCGCCAGAACCCTCGCCGGAGAAGACGACCCAGCCACCGGAGGAACCGGTCGCCGCCACCCGCCGCCGCACCGGACGATTTTCCAGTTGCCAAACGAGGTAAAATTTCTCCCATTGGCTCGTTTTTCGATGTTGAACCTACCTGTGGCCAAATCGGAGCCAAACCACCGACCAATTGGCCGAAAAACATCGCCGAACCCCAGTGGCACCGCCGCAGATTTCTTTGATTTTTGCCTCCGATGAGGCCCTTCCCAGTTCCCGCTCGATGTAATTTTTATACCACCGTGACCACCGTCATTTTCACTACAGGTTGACTGGAGTAAAACACCAAACCGCAACTCGCGCCGGAGGAGCCGCCGCACCCAAGAGCCCCGCCGTCGGTAAGCCTCAGTTTTTTTGTAATTTTTTGGCCCACCGAGGGCTCTAGGGGTGTTTTATCACAGAAACCAATGCAAGTTTGGCTGAATTCGGTCGAAAACGGCCGGAAAGGGCCTTGGGTCTGATTTAGAATTTTTTGGGAATATGTGCAGGTACCGGAAGTGTGTTTCAGTTTCCAGAAAAAAATTCAGAGAATCTAGGAACTGCCCGAAGGCGCAGTGAGAACCTGATTTCAGACTCCGAAACAAGTAAGGATCTCTCACCCTATTTCCTATTACGGCATTAGAGCTTAATAAATGATAAAACGATATTTATGAATTAATAGATATGTATAATTAATTAAGGTTACTAATGGATCTCGAATTTGATGTATTTTTCGGTCAGTTGTTGTTTGATTTATTTTACAGTTTTAAATGCAGTATGGTGCCTGATATGTTTATTCTATGGTTTCGTATGCATGAATCACGGTTTCATTTATTATAGTTTGAATTATTGTGAATCCGATGTTGTGTTGGCTTGTTTGGTGTCCATTACTAGTTTACGTGTTTATATTTGATTGGATAATTGAGATTAAGAAAAAAATGAAAAAAGGTATGCAAATTGATAA